TATAGAAAGAACCTAGAAGAAATGTTGGTTTATTATGAATTTCTGCCATTAGCTAGACTTATATCGTGGTTTGGAATTTTAACTAACAAATGAATTATCCCTAACTATTGAACAGCATCACTTGTATTTGTGGTCATATGTTAGGTCTTTCTCTCTCTCCACCCATCTATCTATCTATAAATAAACGTATACATATAGGTATAGACATACATATACATATATGTGTGATATATATAATTACAAATGAATATAAATATGTATAAATATTCAGTCAACAAAGCATTAATTAAAATTCATAACAGTTAAAATGAATAAAAATTCAAATCTTTCTTGTTTTGCTTAATGCCTGTTCTTCTATTCACTAATTCATAAAATTGAGTTTGTGGGCATTATGTTAAAATACTGCAAAGCCTCTATGGTAAAATATGGTAATACCTTTTAATAGGACATAAATAACAGTATTATTCAAATTTCCCCTTAGGGTGTTACCTAATTTTAGTTATACTGTGAGGCAGCTTGAAAAAGGGCAAACTCATTAAAGGACTTCATTGTGAATATTTTCCAACCTGTAAAATAAGATTGAAATTACTTTATTTACAGTTTTGCCTTTGAGCTATTTTTTTCCTTCATTGTAAAAGAGAGCAGCTGGTGGTATTCCCAAATGTTAGCCTAACTTGAAACATTCTCACACTCCTTTTTGCTTGTTTGATATTATCCTTAGCTATCACAGCTACATAATAAGAATCTCCTTTGGCACTTGTAAATTGAAGATGGGAAGGGCTCAAATACCTACACATTTTAGAGTATAGACAAGTGAATTTCTCTTGCAAAAAGTCATATTTGATATTATTCTTATTTTCCATTAAGTCCATGATTTCTAAGCTAAAACTTTTGCTTTCTGTTTACAGACTGCAATCCAGCTTTGCAGATCACCACAGTCAATTTTACAGTTGATTTAAATGGGCTGTATATGTTACAAATGGCAAGATCTCATTCTTTTTTATGACTGAGTAATATTCCATATTCCATATATAATATTCCATATATATATATACACACTATATATTTATACTATTTTTCTTTATCCTTTCATCTATCAATGGACACTTGGGTTGCTTCCATATCATGGCTATTGTAAATAATGCTGCAATAAACATAGGGGTGTGTATATCTATTTGAATTAGTGTTTTCATTTTCTTTGGGTAAATACCCAGTAGTGAAATTACTGGATCAAAAAAGAATGAGATCTTACAATTTGCACCAACATGGATGAACTTAGAGGGTATAATGCTAAGTAAAATAAGTCAGACAGAGAAAGGCAAATACCATATGATTTCACTCAATGTGGATTTTAAGAAACAAAACAAACAAAAAGAGACAAAAAAACAAGACTTTTTTTTTTTAAATCTGACAAATCAAATCAGAATTACAGCTTTTTTTTTTTTTAAAGATTTTATTTATTTATTTGAGAGCGAGAGAATGAGAGAGAGCACATGAGAGGGGGGAGGGTCAGAGGGAGAAGCAGACTCCCTGCCGAGCAGGGAGCCCGATGCGGGACTCCATCCTGGGACTCCAGGATCATGACCTGAGCCGAAGGCAGTTGCTTAACCAACTGAGCCACCCAGGCGCCCCCAAAAAACAAGACTCTTAAATATAGAGAACAAACTAGTAGTTGCCAAAGGGAAGGTGAGTAGGGGTTGAGTGAAATAAGTGAAGGGGATTAAAGAGTTCACTTATCATTATGAGCACTGAGTAATGTATAGACTTGTTGAATCACTATATTGTACACCTGAAGCTAATATAACACTGTATGCTAATCTTCCTTTGATTTTAAAAAATGTATGAATAAATAAATAAATGGGCTATACAGTATTTTTTCAAAGTTAATAAAAGATTTCAGGTTGTTTTGTCTTTGTTTTGACAGAAAAGAATGTGATAACTTGATTATTTCTTCAATAATTTTGTTGTTTGATACATGTTCTTATAATTTTCAACTATCTCAAATTTTGTATCTTTTTTGAGGAAAGTACCTTTCAGAGTAAATTACTTCAATTTTTTTATCATAAAAGTTTAGTGATATAATTAATGATAATTGGCAATTATCTTCTAAATGTTCAGGTAGACACACAAAACTTAGCTATTGAAATTCCATTAATTTTTATGTTATGTGAAATTTTTTAAATGTGAGTAAATCCTGTGAAAGGTAAAACACATTTGTGTAGCATGCTTATTACATCTTTTCTTCATTGAAATATAGTTGACATAGAATGTTACATTAGTTTTAGGTATGCAACACAGTGATTGAACAATTCTATATTTTACTCAGTGCTCACCACCATACGTGTAGTCACCATCTGTAGGCTCACTTGTAAAGAGAACTATTTCTGGTGTTTGATATTTGGCATGCAAAATGATTATAAAATTTTGTTCTTCTTACTCTAAATCTTATTTTACAGTATTTTTCCAAAACATATCAAGCAAACATTCAGTAAGTATAAATGCAAATAGATCCCCTTATGGGAAAAATATTCACTTGCTTGATTTAGTTTATTAGTTTCTTTAATGATAAATTATACTGTCATTAATATTTGTTCATAATTTTTGACAGTTTCCACTGCTCTCCTTCTGCTGTGGAACATTTCTCTGTGTCTCATTTCCCTTTGGCCAATTCTTACTCCACATAAACTACTAATTCTTATAATCAGTCTAAACTAGAAAGTAGAAAAAGGAAGGAAATTGAATGCATCATCAACCAATACATTCTGTTTTTGTTATTTTCTATCAAAGCCACCCTACTCAAATAATAATTATTCCTAAATTTCTCTACAAAATGGAAGCTATACAGATGAAATACAACTTTTATCTTGCATTAGTTGGAATCTTTTTTTGTTTTCTTGTTTTTGTTTTACAAATGCAAGAAATCCACTTGAAATAGCAAGCAATCAAGGACTTATATAACAATAATGTCTCATGGTTTATTATGGCTTCAGGCAAGGCTTGGTCCAGTGGATAAAACAATTCATCAGGGCTTTGTTTGCCTTTCTCCATCTCCTGAATTTGCATTCATCTGTCATGCCATCATTTGGAGGCACAATGTCTCTGAAGTGGGGAAATGGCTTATGTGGTCTTTATAGCAGCCCAATGTATATACCTCTGTACATAGTTCTTACTGCTTAAAGTTTAGAAATGCGGGGGGGGGATTCCCAGAGAAATGATTGTAATTGAATAGGTCAGAAGTCTATTAAGAATTTGAGAAAATTGTGTTGGCAAAAAAGCTATGTATTTGGGAGAAAAGCCTTTATGGTGCAAGCCTAAACTCATATGGTGGGCCTCCAAACTTGCATAAGAAACTGTGAGGACTGTACAGTCCCAATGACATCACATTCAACAAAACCCACTTCAGATATTGCCACTGAGAATAATGCCTAAAGAAAACTTTCCCAGATAGTAGAACAAGGGGCCATATAGATGACCAAAATTTTCTCAAGAATATTTTCCAGAAAGAACCACAGTTTAATCAAGGAACTTCTTTCATGTCCATGACAGTGAATTCTTATACCACCTGCCCATCAGGATTCCAAACATGCTAAATGGTGTGTCTCTAATCTTTCCTCTACCAAGCAGAAATGTCTATTACAGTTATCGTGATCCTACTATACCATTAAAGAGTTAGATAATTTTTCTTCATAGGTCTTGAGAACATGAATCGCTATGAATCTGATGAGGAAGACTACCCATCTTCCAGAGAGTACAGATATTGAGTTGGATTCAGTGATGAGACTGCGGATTTTTTTTTCCCTTGAGGATAGAATTCGTATGTTCTATATGTGAAGAGAGCAATGGGCTATCTGATGACCACAAAACCAGACTGACAAATATTGCTGGGATTCACCCACCATTGATGTCCTTGCCTTTTCCTGGACACACAGCTAGATCACATTTCCCCACGTATTTCATCTAAATGAGGCATATAACTAGCTCTTGCCATTGGAATGTGATATGTCTTGTGTCCAAGACAATGTAGTTGTGAGTAAGTATGCTTGCTTCCAACTCTTTCTAGTTTTTTTTCTTCTTCCTTATCTGCTATCTAAATGTGACAGCCATTAAAGAGTGCTAGAAGACCTAGAATATGACAGAAGAAAAGAACCAGGTGCCTCAATTGTTCCATAGAGAAGAATGCTGGTTATACATATCAAGCTGTGATGTATGCAAGAAATACACTTGTATTTGTGTTAAACATGAGGTTTGGTGTAGTTTGTTTGCTTGTTTGTTTTACTGATGATCTAGAAACTCAAAGGAAATGGAAAGAAGAGAAATCTAGGTAAATATATGTAGGTGTGATAAACTTAAGAGAATAAGTACATGTAATAGAAAAAAAAAAGCAATAAAAAGGGATATATCACCTAAGTCACATTTGTTTCCTTGAGAAGACTGATAAGATAGAGTCCATTTGGCTTTACAGATTATTAAAGGGAGAAAGGCAAAGAATAAAGCATAACTACATAATATGGAGAATTAAAGATTAATGGATGATATATTCAAGAATCTTAAAATATGACCTAAAACTGTATGTCTGATCTGTTGAATCATGAATTAGATAGATATTCAGTGACAAAACAATACCAATTGTCATACTATTAGCCAATGGTTTATTTTATTTTCAAATGGAAAATGCCATAAACAGCTTTGCTTTTCTGAGTGGAAAGTATTTTTATGGTTTTGGAAGATGTTCTCCCACAAAACAAGAGCATTTTTCTAAAGCACGCATTTGAAAGAATGAAAGAAATTTAAAATTTTTACAAATATAGACAGATGTTGTAGTAAATAGACATATTTCTCTATCACTGCCTATGAATGATTATATCAATCAACAATAGATTCAGCCTATAGGATAAACTTGTGTTGTGGGAAAAGGAGATGGAAGATTTTATTATTCCAGTTTTAAGTAAATATAAAAGTGAATTATACATTTTTTCTGCTGTTTGCCTTTATTCTTTCAGAATCACTTATTGGAGACCAACTGTATTCCAGGCACTCTGCCAAACATTAGGATATTATATGAAGAAGATACGTGTGCTGGTGACTGTTCTCTTCTTCTCAACCCCTAATATGATCTCATGCACATGGATGCTAATGCAGGCCCAGATGTCTCCTGGGCTAGATGAAGGTAATTATTCGCATACACAAGTTAGAATTTTGTGACTTTGTGGCGTAGGTTTTTGAGTGTGAACAACAGAATCTAGACTATATTCTTTCATTTCTGTCCTGGATTACTTACCTTAAATGTTCTATTGATTATGCTTAATCACTTCTATAATTTTAACCACTGTGTATCAGACTCCTTTAATGCATCACATCAGATCCTCTAAATCTGACTTGTCTCCAGGACTTTTTGCCCATTTTTTCCACACCAAGTGCACATTGAGCTAATCAACTGTTTGAACTCGATCCACTTCCATGAGGGCAGCTATTCCTGAGTTTCTTGGAAGAAGAAGTGATTAGTTATGTTTTTAAAAAGTTTTACATAGCCCCCACGATATTAATTACTAAGGCAATTATTCGCATACATGAGTTAGAATTTTGTGACTTTGGGGCATAGGTTTTTGAGTGTGAACAACACTCAAGCTAATTATAGTTGTATAGAAAGTGCATTTCTTATGTCATGCCCCAGCACTTCTTATTAATGATGAGGCTTAAGACACCAGGGGCATCTTTCATGTACAGCCTGGAGTTCATTCTGTGGAATGAGCGGTTCACCAATGGGATCACTGCCCTTGTTGTCTTAGGACTCCCTGAGATGTACTAGGTTGGACCTTTGAGAATGAGTGAGCAGTCATACTTGATGGCAAGCAGTGGTCAGTCCAGTCATAGAGACTTCATTGGTTTGACTGATAGACTTCCCTTTTTTCTCCCTTTCCTTCCCTGAGACTTTAGTCCTTAAGTCTCTAAAATAATAGCATATAAGCCTTAGCCTCATGATGAGCTTTCTAGGCAATCCAGATGAAGAAATTCTTCCTTTCTGTTGATTCTGGTAAGTAGATTTAATCTCTGGAACCTAATAAATCCCTCCTCTATCCTTGGCCTCATCTGACTATTACCACAGGCTGAGTTACTGTAAAGGTGTTAAGTTTGGGGTCTTTCACATGCACAGCCTCTTCTAAAGCCTACTGCCTAATATGTCCACATGACCTACTGTATAAACTTGAAATCCCACAAAAATAGCCCTACTCCAGGCTATTACACTGTCATTTGGCTTTCAGCATGGTCCAACTTCTTGAAAATTGCCTGCATTTACTACTACCTGCCCTTCCTCAGATCCAGCTATGATACGTTCCAACACCACCGCACCATTAAAATTGCCCTTATTAATTTCCCCAGTGAGCTCCTTCTCATCAAATCCAGTGAACACTATTCTGCCCTTTATTTTGCTTTCCTTCCTCACTTTTTAAAAACATAACTAATCACTTCTTCTTCCAATAAACACTCTTCCCTTGCCTTCTCCAAAGCCATACTATCTTGATTTTTTCTTACCATTCTTTTCCAGATTTTGTTCTTACTCTCCTCTACGTTCTTATGACTTCAGGGATTTTCATTTTTGTTTTAGTTTTTCCCTTCTTCTCTTCTCCAGTCACGTATAAATCCTGTGTGATGTTACATAGCCCCCACGATATTAATTACTAAGGCAATTATTCGCATACATGAGTTAGAATTTTGTGACTTTGGGGCATAGGTTTTTGAGTGTGAACAACACTCAAACTAATTATAGTAATAATTATACTGATTATAGTAATTACTTATTATTAATTACTATTAATGTATTATAGTACTAATAGTGTTAGTACTAATAGTACTAATAGTATTAATGTATTATGTACTAATTAATGTATTCCCAAATGAATACATGGAGTTTATATTTCTCTCCTGATTTCTAAATATGTATATCCAACTATTAGCATCTTTAGTTGAATGTTTTCGAATGGAAGCACATTTGAATATGTCTAAAAGAGAACTTATCCTCTTTGTCCCCAAATCTTTCTTTAGTTTTCTTTCACAGTTGATGGTACTGCTCTCCATCCAATCAGCCAACCCAGAAACCTAGAAATTATTCTTGTTAATTTCCTTTTTTTCAATAAATTTCTCGTATTTGGTCAGTCACCAAGTAAACTAACTTTGATTTTCTTTTTTTTTTTTTTTTAAGATTTTATTTATTTATTTGACAGAGAGAGACACAGCGAGAGAGGGAACACAGGCAGGGGGAGTGGGAGAAGAAGAAGCAGGCTTCCTGCCGAGCAGGGAGCCCGATGTGGGGCTCGATCCCAGGACCCTGGGATCATGACCTGAGCCGAAGGCAGACGCTTAACGACTGAGCCACCCAGGCGCCCCCTAACTTTGATTTTCTAAACATCTTTCAAGTATATTATTTCTATTATCTTCCAAGTTTAAGTTCCTTGTTATGGCTCATAAAGCCCATCCTTAAACTTCCTCAGTCTCAACGTGTTGTCACCTCTCCTCAGACTTGACTCCAGTCATTTAAAAATATTCTTTAAAGTCCTTGAATGTTCTAAGCTCTGTAGGCCTTTCAGATGTGTTCTAACTGGAATATTTATTCCCTTTCAATCCCCCTCATCCTTCCATCTTGTCTTGTGGAATATAACATTCAGAAGTTGGGTAGAAGTGTTCTTCTTCACTGCCATTCTCTTGCTGTTTGTTTTCTTAACCTTGTTGGGCTTAACAGTCGAATCTATGGTTAATCAAGGTTGTGGCTTCTCTCACATCAGGACATTTCTTCATGAGAAACTTATTCCCAATATTAACCTCTGCTTCTTCTTTCCCTCTCACAAACAATTAAGAGTATTTAATCTTGTTTCCAATGAAGACAACCTAAAATCACATCCAGTTACTGAATAAGCCTCAAGACTAGAGTTTAAGTTGATGTGTATTCTTTTTAGTTCTATAGAATTGCTACACTGGTATTTCCCATTATGTGAATGAAATAGAAAATGCAACAACCACTGTATAATGTACATATATAGTAGAGAAGTGAAGTAGAAAGGTAAAAATAAAAATAAGGTATGTGATACAGTAATCTGGGAAATGCAAGAAGAAGCTCCAGTTATATTTCATATAACAGCTATAAGTATAGAGTTGTTTATGGTTTCATTCCTCTACTATAAGTATTATTACTATGTCTTTAATATTCAGTTATATTTTCAGTTGGTATGTTTCTTTTGCAAGCAGGGTAACCTCAGACTTTCATCTTTAATTCTTGTTGTATCATCGAGGTTCACTGGACCCAATGTAATGTTGAAGTTTTTTTTATTGAACAATTCTAACAACTTATAAAGATTGATCTTTTCCAACTTTTTTAATTTATTGGAAGTTTTCCAAAAACAAGTAAGAATTTTTAAACAAAGAATTTTGAAATATTTTGCAATTTTTTATTCTAGAAATTATTTCAGCATCACTCATCAATTATTATCCCATGCTAAATAAATGACCAGAATAATAAGGAAATAGACACAGAATGGAATCATCCAGAAGGGTCATGCAATAGTAAAATAAATCAGTACTGTATATCATCTGTAAATTTTGTTATTGTTCTATCGAAGTATTGCATTATCTTTCACGAAGATACAAATGATATGTGGAGACACCGTGTTTGTAAGTTTTAAAAACTTTTCTTACTTTTATTAAACTGTTGAGAATTCATATTTTTAAAAATTTTCTGCTCATGATATCAATGAGAAAAAATTTTTAAAAATTACAAAAGAAGAAAGTTCACAATCATGAGATAAATGCAGAGATCCATAGCAGCACTCAGATTCTAATAATGAGGATGATATTGATTGTATTTTACTAGTCTTCATATAATGCTATCCCAAATATAATGCCATCCCAAATGAATTTTCTCAAATGAGTAGAAGTCTGAGGGATTTTTCTTTCTTTTATTTTCTCTGAGAAATAATAATGGGGGACAGGAGTGGGTAGGTTTTGAGGAAAGTGTAGAATATTTTAAATAGCAGTTGGGATGAAAGGGAGAGTAAGAGAAAGCAAAAGCAACACAGGATTGTTTGGTCATTGTCGCTGATCATCAAATTATTGGTATACCTCCCACCCTGTTCTATGCTTTTCTTTCCCCCCACAAAAAATGCTATTACAATGATGCCTTTATGCTTATTTTATTAATGCTGAGCTCTCAGGTACATAAAAATGGAGTCTGATATCCTCTCCTTACCAGTTCTTTACCTCCTCCTTAGAGGAAACAGGAACATTTGTCTTGTTATTCCCGGGAAAGAAAATTTGTTTAGTTCCAAGAGGAAAGTCTTACTCTAGATTTAAAAGGCCCCTCAACCATGAAGAATAGAGTTGAAAGGAGCTTTTGATGATTTCTTCCAAATTCTCAGGCACTTGAAAGCTCACACACCCAAAAACATTAGGCCCATCAAACTTTGAGGATACGGTTTTTCTCACCTCTGTGCTGATAAGGACATGAGGAGTTAAGATATTCCGTTTCTTAAGTTCTTAATTCCTTTCCATAAATCTTGTACTTTTTGATAACTAGGAATTTGAAATGTGGGGGTTTTATCTATAGGATGTGCCTAATGTCTTCATGTAATTATTAATAAAGTTCATTCTCATTATCAAAAGAGATATAGTTGGATCGATAAATTATACGGTCAGCCTAGAATCTTTATGGGATTATAGAATTCTATAAAATGCTCACATAAGTGTTAGTTCATCACTAGACAGACACCCTCGTGATCTGTAGGCAGAAGGAAATGTAAATTGAACAAACTATTATGCTTATATAATCAGGATTAACTGATACCTTCTTGGGACAAGTAGGATAATTATCTTCTTTAGTTCAGATATTTCTACACATGGTTGTAATGAAGAACTAACGATGTTTATTGTAGAAGTTGAGAGCAGCTGAATGGATTAAATTAGATAATTTCCAGCTGTTACTTCAAAAACTGGCCAGAACTCAGAAAAGAGCCACTTGCAGGGCCTAAGAGAGTTGTGAGACACAGATACTCAGGTGTCACACAGAAATGCAATGGCTGTGGTCTTTCTCCATACTAAAAAAGAGAGAGAAAGATTTATCAAGTGAAAGGATTTGCCTAAGATAATATTCAACTTTTATGAGGATTTACAAACCTCACTTCCAATCCCAGTACTTAGAATCATGGGATTTTTATAATAATCATGACTATTCTGGATTAACAGCTATATGTGAATTAGATAGCCAGCTTTCCGAATCCCTTTATGGACTTAAAATACATATAAACTGTATCAACATTCTATTAAAGAGTTACATGATTGTTCTGAACTACTGGTGACAATGTTTTTATATTTTTGTCATTGATGATTATATTTCTTTCTTTCTTTTTCTCTTACATTTCTGTATTTCTATCACTGCTGATTATATTTCTAGGAGTGTTGGTTATTTCTTAGCACCAATGATTACAGAGATGTGGGCAATTTGAAGTTTCCCCCATTATAATTAGTTCTCCTTTGATGGCATATTTTTCCACTGTCATTCCCTGTATAGTGTGGCACTTGTTGATTTTTTTGAGATGTAAGTGAATAAATTGCTATTCATAAGGAAATGCTCAAGTGCTTCCATTTATGATGTAAATAAATAAGTTGTGATACAGGATTTTTGGTTGATCATAGTAATTTATTAAATCAGTATACCACCCATATCTATACTGATATATTTCAAAAGAAAGAAAGTTTTAGAATCTATCAATTATGCCAGTGAGCTTTAAATAATGACTTCAGCTTTATTAAATAATAAATAAGTGTTACAAGTGTAGGAAGCAGTACTATGTCGCTCATTACCTTAGTAACAAGTTCTCTTGTTTAGTCTAGACATGGATTTAATAGAGGCTTTAAATGTGGGAAATTTCATAGTGTTCCCTCTCACTTTACAAATTGTGTTCTGTTTTCCAGAACCACAATTATTTGATTAAAATGACTTCAACTGGAGTATACATCAGGGCCAAAACTTAAAATCTGAAAATTTGTCATTTACAAATGAAGACTCAACACAATGCAATTTTTGTTCATTGGGACTGTTTATAAGCTGCTGAACAATGGGGTCAATTCTTCTCTCTTTGAAGGGCATGTAAGTTCAACTCTATGGTGTAATCAGCTTCACTGTTTTTCTATATTTAGTGTTTAAATTTTCTTTTTCTTTTAGAAGATGAGGTGTTTTATTTCTTTTATTTAATTTTATTTTATTATGATATGTTGGTCACCATACATTATTAGTTTTTGATGTAGTGATCCATGATTCATTGTTTTCGTATAATACCCAGTGCTCCAATCTTCATTCAAAGAAGTCACATTATTTCTCAAATGACATCTCTTCATATAGACGCATAACAGCCTATACCAGAACATCAATTAATGTAGGAAAGAATTTAGAATAAACTAGATAAAGCATTTGACTATGTCCTGGAGAGATGAGTTAAGCAAAATTTTCTAAGGCTTTTTTTAAAGTAATAAAAGCATTTTCATTTATATTGAGCTTCACAGGTTGTTTCTTTAGGATAGTATAGCACCTGAGCTTTGATATAAATTCCTATTAAGCCACGTATAGTAAAGCAGAAAGAAGCCCAATAATTTATGCTGAATTATTGCAGTGAAAAAATCCAAAATATAAACTAGGTCATTCTCCCATATTTGTTTTACAGAGCATCCTGTCTCTCCCAGTTAAATAAAATTAATGTCATGATCCAGGACACATTAAGATTTGTCTAGAAATCGGGGTGCCTGGGTGGCTCAGTTGTTTAAGCAACTGCCTTCGGCTCAGGTCATGATCCTGGAGTCCGGGGATCGAGTCCCGCATCAGGCTCCCTGCTCAGCGGGGCGTCTGCTTTTCCCTCTGACTCTCTCCCCTCTCATGCTCTCTCTCTATCATTAAAAAAAAAAAAAAAAAAAAGATTTGTCTAGAAATCTCCAATTGTAGCTCCAGCTTTAGCTTTTTAAGGGGAGATAACACAATCTTCAATTTATAACAGTATAAATCAACAATTAATAGATCAAAATTTTTGAATTTAGTATTATATAATCCAAAGTTTCTGTAAGTCAGTAAAATCTTCTCTAGCCTACCTAATTATCTCAAGATATGCCCTCTTCCACTCAGGCTTGTACCTTGCACACACTAAGCATGTTGACTCAGGTGTACATTCATGATATACTCTTATTTATATTCTATTTTTATTCACAGTCCATCTGGCCTCCCACTTCTGCTGCAAGGCATCTCTGACCATGTATGTCTTTTAACCTCATTGTGTTTTCCAGCATGCTCATGGAGCCCTGGTAGTCATTAGTTTTCTTTCTCTCAACTCCATTGCCTTCAAGTAACTTGGAAGGTGTTCAATGATCTAAAAATGGACGCTTGCTATAAAAATTGGACATATAATCATAGAACAAAGAGAGTATATTTTTAATATGAAAATCCTTTCTCTTAATCATCATTTTTCTCTACAACACTCAGAAATACCATATGTATTTGTTCACTATCTTTCTTTTTCTATAGGATGTAAAGTCTACAAGTGAGGAGGAGACTGTCTGTTTTAGTCATTACTGATTCCCCTGAGCCTATCATGGTACCTGATGTTACTCCATAAATATTTGCTGATTTTTTAAATAAAAGTCAATAAACATTCCAAGATATTAGACTAAGGAAGGTTGGTTTAAAAATCAACAAAAAATACATCACAAAGTACTTCATTTTTTGGCTTCTGTCATTAATGATATTTATTCCAACGATGATAAAATATTTAAATGATTTTAATTACATGGGCAAATTAGAAGCTTATGATCCCTCTTTATATATATGTTCTACAGTATGTTACTTCAAGTGTATTTGAATAATTCTTCAAAAATGATTTGGCTATTCTCATCCTATATTTTACTGATTATTCAGTGAGGTTATGTGATAAGAGAAAATTAATTACTTAAATATAATGTTGACGCTTACCTTTATTATTTAATAAAGGGTTTTTTTAAATAAGATCCTTTTGGAGGGACTAGGCCTACTATCCTTATTTTGTTTTGATACTTGAGCTTCTGATCCTATGTGAATTCATGCAACACTTCCTAGGGAAATCTGGCATAATTTTTATTATCACGATTGTCCTTAACTGTGCTTTATTTAGGAGCCAAAGTAAAATATTCCCAAGTAGGTTCATGTCAAAAATAGAATCTAGTAACCTTATGTCCAGTAACTTCCAAGTAACTTTATATATTAATTAAAGTTCTAGTTTCTTCTTGGGATTATCTGGATAAATGTAACTTATTAAATAAGAAGAGTGGTTCAGTGTTAGTCATATAACCATTAACCATTAACCATTAACCATATAACCATTAAGGAGTTCCTTAAAACATTCCCATATTGTGATCCTTCCTATCTGATTTTAATCTGGGCGTTACGAAGTTAGAGAATAAGAATTATAGGTTTTCCTAAGGGATTCATTTAAGGAGAAATGAGTGTCATACAGCACATACACATATACACATACAAACACACACACACACGCAAGCATACACTTAAGAGTAAGATGCAGTTAGAAACAAAACTGTAAAATGGAGGGATCATGGTAGTCTTCACATTAAAGGATTATTTAATTATTTAAAGTTAAAGCCAACAAGTTGAAGAACTTGTTTCTGACTGTCACACTCCCCAACAAAATGAGGAAGTGCCATCTTGATCCTGTACATGAATTTTGTGGTTTAAGTATGCATCCATGATGAGATAGGCAGTGAGTACTTCATTTTTATTTTTGACTCAAAAGGAAAAACTCAGGTAAGCACATTTGTCTACTTTACCAACCACACCTAAGCAGCATATGTGATCTAGGAGTCATCAGTATTAGTCTCAAAGGAACCTCTTCGGATCACATTTCAGGAGAAAGCAGCACATGATTCAAGAAAACAGACTACTGTGATGAAATTTTATATGCTCATTATCAGTGCTTAGTCCCAGCTTCTCAGTATTAAAATACAAAATTCTCGAATGCCTGAAAGGCAGAATGGAATAGTTGAAATATATGTGAAATTTGAGAGAAACTATACAGTTTAATGATATATAATTAAATGCATGTCTACTTTTGAGCAAAAAGGAGAGAAAGTGAGAAAAAGGCAGGAAACAAAAAGAGAAGAAGGAGAAAGGTTGAGAAAGAGAACATTTAAATTCAAGAGACAATATCAGCATTTTGAAAACTATGAAGTGTGAGGAAAAAGTCATGGGTATTATGGAGATTATAATATTCTTGGGAAGACAAGAGGAAAATTGGAACTAACAGATAGTAAAAGATTTTCTGTCAACACATGCTAGAAGGTAAGCAGCTTCAAGAAGAAATTTTTATCATTTTTGTTCATTGAAGTGTTCTGACTTCCTACGACAGAGTCTGGCACATAATAGCTATTCAAGAAGTATTTATTGAATGAATTTAATGGAGAAGTTCATATAATAAATAAGAGTTTTCCACTGATACATTAAATTAATTGCTTACTTAGTTACATAGATTCAGTGGTTTCAAAGGAGAGAGAGATTACCTTGGGGAAATGTGGTGGTATTTTAGATGAGTTGGTAGATTTTAGGCTAATAGACTTTCAGATAGCTAGATATGAAGGGTTAGGCATAACTCATTAATTTCTTGTGTTAGCACATTTATTGAATAATTGTCATGTGACCATCAATATAGTAGGTCCTATGGATACAGAGATAAAAGGCACAATATCTGGCTTCACATAGCCTATATCCTAAGAAAAACAAGAAAAAAAAACAACAGTCAATACACACAGACAACTGTTTGCAATACAGGAAAAGGATATGGTTGAGATACAAGCATACACAGGGCATAAGTGTCTATCTAGTGAGCCCTGAAGGTATAAAGAATGTTTGGAGGAAGTGGAAACTTGGATGGTCCTGAAAGACTAATGTGTAACAAAAGTAAGGAAAAGAGAGAAATACTTTCTAGTCATCAGAAATGGTGCCTGCAAATGCCTTGGGGTTTGAGAGAGCTAGTGTTTCTGGGAAAGTAAAAGTAAGGAAGATACTGTGGAGGAATGGCAGGGCATTGCCTGCTGAGCTACAGAGCTAAGATTTTATGCCATTGGCAATAGGAATCATGGTAAGATTCCATGCCAGTGGTTATGTGAGCAGATTTTTCTGAGAAAGGTCACCGACAGAAGAAAGAACTAGATGAGACCTCTTAGAACATGAGAATGGGTTGAATATAGATGAGAAAGGAGATGAGGAAGGTATAGTTCTGTTTTCAGATGAGAAATGGTGAGTGAGGGCCTGAACTAAGTAGGAGCAGTTGGAGTGAAGTGAGGAGGATAACATCAAGAAGTAAATAAATTATCACGGCTGATACTTACTGAGTACTTTTCTGTACACTGTTGTATACTTATCAACCCTTTTAATTTAAATAACAACCCCATATGATATGTGTAATTGTGTCTGTCCCCATTTTACAGATGAGAGATCTCAGAAAGTAAGTGATTCACTGAATGTCACAATTAGTACATACTGAGGAAGTGGTCAAGATGGAATTTAAACCTGGTTAGTCTGACTCTAGAATCCCTCTTCTTAACCACTATATGATCATGCCCCTAGAGAGATAAAATATACTAATGAGGTAGAATCAACATTATTTGCTGATTAAAAGGATAAATACTTGAGGGGGAAAGAGAAATTTAAGATGATACCTAAGTTTCTGACTTGGGGTGGAGGTTACAGAGTAGAAGATTAATTTCACTGAGAACAGGTTGACTATAAAGTGCACATGAGCCACCAACATGAAGATAGTAGGCAATGTGATTTATCAGTATGTGTGTAGCAGAGAAGTCTCAGCTAGGGATCTAGAAATTATGATTCCCAAGGCCATGGCTTTGTGTGTGGCCATTCAGACGATTAATAGTCTGAGAATGACCCATAATGAATGTGGCATTCTAGAACAGGTAGCCATTCTCTTGTTTAGGATGCTTTGAGCTGTATCTGGAAGCCTCAAATTGGCTTAACAACAAGAAAACAGACTTCCTCAAATAACA